GATGGAGAGGGGGCGGGCGGGCGAGCCCACGGAGGAGGATGAAGCAGGAGGGGGGGGGGTTACAGGAACGAGTACAGCCAAGACGTTGGAGTAGTTAAGTACCACGTCTGGGCTCAGAGGGGACTATGGCTAGGTCGGGCGTGCCCTCCTACAGTCGAAATGCAGTCGAAACAGATTCAGACATAGCCAAACGCAGTCAAACAACATCGTCCCCGACTGCTTTGGGGGGCTAGTTTCGAGTATCCCTCCTGTCGAGGGGCGTGCCAGACTTGAGGCCAAGGTGACCGGGCCGTTCCGTCGATCTGGGTCGGGGAGCCTCTTCGTGGAGCCCGGTGGCGGCGCCGAGGCCCGCCGAGGCCAGAACAAAAAAAGAGCCCTTGCTCTTAACGAGCGAAGAACGGTATAACATAAACTTTTTCACCGTCGGGGACACTTGCCCCTGGGCGGCTGGAAAGTTTATACCCTTACGGTGGCACCGTAGGGGCATAAACTTTCCAGCCGCCCAGGGGCAGGCGCCCCCGACAGCGAAAAAGTTAATTTTATACCGTTCTTCGCCCGTTAATGTTCCTCAGGCAGCTTGCTCCCTGGTAGTGCGATTAAGTCGGGCCTGTCCCTCCACAGGAGGAGTTTTCAAGAATAGTAAACATGATATGGGACAGGTGTTTGACTATTTTTGAATATTTGTTCGTTTTGTTTGGACCAGTTTTGTTAGTTTTCCTCCGGGATCCCCCTGTAGGAGGACGTGCCCGACCCAGTTGTGCGATGATTGCAGGGTGGGTGATGTGGGATGTGGAGGAGGACTTGGACGAGAGGGACGAATGGGGGGGATTGTGATGCTAATGGCGATGCAGATGGTGATGATGAATCTGATGCTGCTGATGGTGATGATGATGAGGATGAGGATGAGGATGAGGATGAGGATGAGGAGGAGGAGGAGGAGGCGGAGGAGGAGGAGGAGGAGCAGGATGAGGAGGACGACGGGGAGGATAGGAAACGCAGGCATGGACTAAGGCCCGTGGTCTGGCGACGGTGCACGCTTCCATACCAACTCGGCGGCACGTGGCCTGGCGACGGGGCACGCGTGCTCCGTCTCCAACGTGAGGCGGCGCTGGCTGCATTTGTCGGGGGATACCTGCTCCGACCCTTGGTTTTGACGCCCACGCGCCAAATCCCTTGGCATCGCTCGGACGTGTGCATTTTTCCTTCGGCGAGGACCATCGAGGAGCATCCGTGATCACTTGGCGAAACAAGCCACGCACGAAACCGAAAAAAACATAGGGAATGGACGTCCGAGCGATGCCCAGATCCACGGATTCCTCATTCATGTCTCAAGCAGTGGCGAAGCGTTTCTCGGCGGCGAGCGAGGGGGGGGAAGCGAGAAGGAGAAGGCCTTCTCAGAAGGCGGCGGGACTTCTCAGAAGCCCTCGCGCCTTCTGAGAAGTTTTTCTGTCTTCGGGGGAGGCTTACAAAACTTCTCAGGAGGCCGGGGGACTTCCGAGCCTTCTGAGAAGGCCCGCCCGTTCTCACTTCCCCCCCTCGCTCGCCGCCGAGTTTTGATGTTCGAATAAGTTCGCCGAGTGATGGTCTAATTGCGTTATGCTGTTTGCACGGGATTTCCTTAGAGCATGTCTGGCTGAGTGAGCCTTCGCTTGATACGTAGGGACTCGCGTCTAAGAACGTCGGCCTGTCAGTTACTCAACCACTAGATTTGGTTCCAAGCCCACGCCGTGGTGGGCCTGTAGGACTGCTGGGCCTGTCGGTCCCTGCTCAGAATGCGTGCGTCTGCCCGAGAGGAGGAGAAGGGCAGAGTGCGGCGCTTGGGCCCCGCCAGCCGTTGCCACGCTCCTCGTGGAGCGCGCGGGCCCATCGCCCGCCGCGAACGCGCGGCACCCAGGCGTGCCCACACCGCGCTTCGACGCGACACGCCGTCCACAAGCCAAGTCCCCCCGTTCGTCCACGTCCCCGGCCTCTCCAGGCCTTCCCAAGCCTCCCCCGCCGCCGCGACACACCAAGCAGAAGTCCCCGACCGTACCTCCGGGCCCTTCATCCCCGGGGCACAGTCCCCAAGCCTCCTCCTCCTTCCCCCCCCTCGGCCGATGGCGTAAATCTGCAGTCGGTGCCATCCTCCTCCTCCTCCTCCTCCTCCTCGTCCTCCTCCTCCTCCTCCTCCTCCTCCTCCTCCTCCTCCTCCTCCTCCTCCTCCTCCTCCCAGCGAGCACCGGTGTCGCTGCGCAGCACACCGGTAACAAAGCGCAGGGGCCCGACGCCTTCATCAGCTACACTGTTGAAATCAGCGTGAGCGAGAAGAGCGAGCAGCGGCAGCAGACTCTGGCCTGGCTCCGTGAGCGGGCGAGAGTAGAGAAACAGCCCGACGTGCACAGTTACAACGCCGAAAGAGCGTGCGAGTACAACGGGAAGTGGCAGCAGGCGCTGGCTAGACTCCGAGACACAGAGACGAAGCTAGAGCCTGACGTCCTAAGCGACAGCGTTGAAGCCAGCTCGTGCGAGAAGGGTGAGCAGTGGCAGCAGGCTCTGGCTGGAACGCGAGATGCTGGAGGCAGGCTGAGAGAAACGTGCGTGGGGGCCACGATCAGCTACAATTCTGGGGGCAAGCCGTGCGAGAAAGGGAGCGAGCAGTGGCAGCGGACGTTGGTATTGAGCAAAACGTGCGGGTGGGCGAACAGCTACAACGCTGGGAGCAGTCCGTGCGAAGAAGGGAGCGGGCAGTGGCAGCAAACGCTGGTGCTGAGAGAAACGGGTGGGCATGCCACGATCAGCTTCAACGCTGGGAGCAGTCCGTGCGAGAAAGGGCGAGCGCAGTGGCAGCGGACGCTGGTACTAAAAACGTGCGGGTGGGCGATCAGCTGCAACGTTGGGAGCAGTCCGTGCGAGAAAGGGCGGGCTCAGTGGCAGCAAACGCTGGTGCTGAGAGAAGCGCGCGGGTGGGCCACGATCAGCGCCAACGCTGGGAGCAGTCCGTGCGAGAAAGGGCGAGCGCAGTTGCAGCGGACGCTGGTGCTGAGCGAAGCGCGCGGGTGGGCCACGATCAGCTACAACGTTGGGAGCAGTCCGTGCGAGAAAGGGCGGGCGCAGTGGCAGCGGACGCTGGTGCTGAGCGAAGCGCGCGGGTGGGCCACGATCAGCTACAACGCTGGGAGCAGCCCGTGCGAGAAGGGGGGCGCGCAGTGGCCCTGGGTGAGGGGAATGCACCCCGCAGACCCTGGCGCTGCGAGAAAACGGCTGCGAGAAGTGGGAGGCGACGATAGAGCCCGACGGCATCTAACTAACTCCGCTAGGAACAGTCGTTCACGAAAGTACAGGGGCGCACATCACCAATTACAGTGCTGGGGTCGGCTCGTGTGCGGAAGGCTGGGGAGCAATCGTGCGAGGCAGGGTTGCAGTTCACCGGGAGCCAGCCGAACGCCTCTTGCGAGAAGCGGGGGGCGAAGCTGGAGCCGAATATCGTCAGACGTGTTCTACGCCGAAGGGTTGATATCAATTCATGTGGGAACACTTCGCGGATCGTGGGGCCGGGAAGGATCTCAGCTACAGTGCGGGGATCGGGTCGTACGAGAACCAAGGCAGCGGCAGCAGGCTCTGTAGCCGCGGGGATCCGACGAGCCAGTCTAGGCTACAGTGCCGACATCAGCTCGCGGAAGATTTTGCGAGAGAAGCCCTTTTGAGGCAAGCCCTCAGAGGGCACGGCGTTCTGGCTCGGCTCGGGGGCGGCCCGATGCGGCCAAGACGACCCGCGGCGCGATTCCATGGGGCATCGTGATCGTTCGACCAGCAGAATCCAGCAGAATCCTCCTCCTCCTCCTCCTCCTCCTCCTCCTCCTCCTCCTCCTCCTCCTCCCCCGCCTCCGCCTCTTCCTCCTCCTCCTCTTCCTCCTCCTCCTCCCTCCTCCTCCTCCTCCTCCTCCTCCTCCTCCTCCTCCTCCTCCTCCTCCTCCTCCTCCTCCTCCTTTCCTCCTCCTCCTCCTCCTCCCCTTCCTCCTTTTCCTCATCCTTCGCTGCCTTTTCCTCCTCGTCCTCCTCCTCCTTCTCCTCCTCCTCCTCCTCCTCCTCCGCCTCCTCCTCCTCCTGCGGCGCAGGACGTCCCTCTCGCCCTGCCCCGTGGGAGAAACACAGGTGCGTGTCTGCGGCCTCGCGGGCCGGGCCTCCTCCTGCTCCTTCTCCTCCTCCTCCTCCTCCTGCTGAGAGAGCCGAGGAGGGAGGTTCAGAGGAGGAAAAGGAACCCATACCGCTACGAACCTTTCCTTAGTTGTTCCCCCCGCGGATACGGGGCGCTTTTGTCGCGGATGCCTTGCGCGAAACGTATCCGTGCGACCGCGAAAAGCTGGGCCAGCGTTTCCTGGCCAGCTTGCCAGAAAGCTGGCCCAGTTTCTTGATCGCGTTCGCCCCCCGGCGAAAACATGAAATCTTGGCACCGGCTTGTCGTTTGAATCTTACGGAAAATTGGCCCAGGGTTTTAAAAAAGATTACGTTTTGATCATAGTTGCGGTTGTACATGATGTCTGCGCTGAGTCACCTTGGGCGTTTTTTCGCGGATGCCCTGCGCGAGACGTATGGGCCACCCCCGCGGGCGGAAGCTGGCATAACGGCGGAGGGAGTAAAAGAAGTCGTATCCAAGATATGACAACGTTTTCAGGTTTCGGGTGTCTGGAGCCTGCCAGATGTATCCGTGCGAGCGCGTATCCGCAGGGCCGCGCCCCGCAGTCCCGACCGCGAGGGCGCGGATACGGACACGTTCGCCGCTCGCGGCGCCACTCGCCAGCCGCCTAGGGGGCCACTGTTCCTTTCCAGTGCGCGGGGCGTCCGCTCAGCGCGTGGTAAACCGCCCACCTAACCACCCCAACCCAACCCGAATGCCCCAATCCGCCCTCCACTCCCAGGGGGGGGGGGGATCGGGGATAATTGCAAAAACACATAGGAAGCCCGTACCCCTCCCCAGCCCCTCCTCCTCCTCCTCCTCCTCCTCCTCCTCCTCCTCCTCCTCC